GTGTATTTTAGTGTGCTTAGTCTATGGTATGAATTAGGAAGGATTTTGGAAGAAATTCTTACTGTGCCAAAACTCCACAACATCTGTCCTTGATGAAAATGATGTGAATTACACACAGGCCAACTTTCTTTTGTACAAGTACTTTAATAGTTACTCTTTTGAAATAATTATATTAGAGATCAACTTGATTCTCAAAGACATTTTCATACGCCACCAAATCAAACAAAATTTATCCAACAAAAAAGCTACATCAATGTCCAAAAATCAATTGATTGTCATATGGGTCCCTTTTTTTTTTCTTGGCAATTCTTTATTGCATTTAATAGAGATTTTCTTAATAGAACCCTGTGATCCCCCAACCTCAATCCAAAATTCTTATATTGGGTCTTTTATAAACTATGGTCCATTCTCTAGTAGTATATCAACAATTAAATTTCCAACAAATTTATTTAAATGAAATTATCAATTAATAGCTCTCAAGTTCAAATTTCCCACTTCTTACAACTAAAATAAGTAATATCCTATCAAGTAATTACATTCCATGAGAAAGAGCCATTAAATCCAGGTAATATCCAAACCATTAAATTCAGGTAATATCCAAACCATTAAATTCAGGTAATACCTAATCAAGTAATTACATTCCACGAGAAAGCTCCATTAAATCCAGGTAATATCCAAACCAAATGCATGGAGCAAGAACACTCCAAATTTAGGCCATCATCATCATTAGTTTTACCCCAGCCAAGTGCTCCACTTTTGTATGCAATTAGTAAAATTTAGAAGAAGGGTCTTATATGAGAACAATTATTTTTTTTGCCCCACTACTAAAGCAATAAATAAAACAAACTATCCATGATCGATCCAAGTTGAAATTACAGCATTCCTTTGAAATGCACAAGCAATACAGTATAAAACTGCATATTCAAGGGAAACAACAGTCTAAAATGTTGTTTTGAATAAAATTCTAATAAGATAACAAAAAAAAAAAACAACATTATCATTTTGACTTTCCAATACAATTTCACTTTGTTATGCAACAGAAAATAGTGATATAATGCTCATAATTTGGGAATTTCTCTTCAAAGTTCAATGATCAACTCCAAGTGAAAGAATGGCAATTGCAAACACTAAAATTGACAATTCAATCACTTATAAAATAGATTATAGAGCAAAATGCAAGTGCTAATCTCATGTAATATGTAAAAACTTGCCTTTTCTACGTCAAAGAGAAAAAGGTAAGACCTAAAAAGCATACTGAAGTAGGTGATTTGTCATGAAGATAGTGTAGCATAAATGCATGGAAAAATCTAAAATCTTTTCATTAGAAGAAACTACAAATAAAATGCTAAAAGAACAATATTAATGATTAATTATTTAGTCCTGTTCATAATAAGCATCATACATGTAAAGCTACTTGAAATCCTTCATTTAGACACGAGGTAAGGGTTGTTTGGCTACCCTACATAGTGGGGTTTTAATTGGATCAGACCTAAATCCTGCCAAACTCATTTTAAGTAGTTAATAAAACCTACGCACTTTAGTTATGGGTTTTGGCAGGATTTAATAAAGCATTTCTCAAAACTTAGTTTAATAAAAAATACCAAGCAAAGCCAGGTTTTACAGGTTTTATATATATGAGTCGCTCCCACCCCCTTCTGTCACCGCCTCCTGTCACCTCCTCCATGTCACCCTTTCCTCCCACATTACAATATTATTTTGTCACGTTTTCCCACTTAGTCAGGCCTCTCCTCCCTCAAAACCCATCACACTCATCACTGCAACCCTACACCTCTTTGCCACATCTCCTTCTCAACAACAATGCTTTTTGCCCTAGTTTTGATGAACTACCACATCTCTATATATTTTAAGAAAGTATCTTGCAACTTTTCCCACTTGCAGATCCATGGCGGTTGATAGGTACTAAACACAATAAATTGATGAATTTACATGAACACTACTTCATGCAATGATTTTTTTTTTAAACTTATTGATGTCTACCATTCAATGCTATTTTGACAATGATGTTAAACTACATAATTATGCTAATATTTGTTTGAATTAATTCTGATGGTATGTATTGACAATGCAATAGTTTTTTTGTTATGCTATAGATTATGTGTTGTTTGGTCGGGTGAAAAGTGAGTGCAGTGTATATTATTTTCCGTGTTTTATCTTTTTTTTTTCTATTTGATGGAACAAAAATAGAATGTAATGAATTCTTTTGCGGTATTCCAAATACAACAGCTCCACCATTCGCTGTGATTTTGAAATCAACTCAATTAAAAAGAATTGCAAATATGCAACAGCAAAATTTTAAGGAGCTTAGATTCCCTCATGCCCTTCAAAATTCCAATCGACGTTTGCTTGCCTTTGCAGTCGTCTACCTTCGCAATCTTCGCCTCCACCCTTCCTTCTGTGGATTGTCGTTGGTTAGAGTGTGTGGGTTCTTGTGAGCAAGTTTGTCGGTGAATGGGCATGAGGGATTCGCTCGAGAGTCAAGAATAGGGAGAAAAGCTCTGAGGAGATGGAAAAGGAGGCCATTTTAGTGGACGCCAAGGTTATGAAGGTTAGAGTACGTGGGGCTGGAGCTAGTGCCATTAATACTAGAAATCATCTATGGCCTGGATTGTTACTGCCATGGTGTCCAAGTACCAACTTCTTCCATAATCTTGCTCTGCTTTTTGTTGCACTTTTGAAGCAATATTCTTGCTTCCGCCTTCACTCCACTATTTCCCATAATTATTACTTGGTGACCCTTATGGAGTTGAATTCCAGTTTTTATTAATAAATTCATGCATGGATGCTTCATTGTATGAACTATAAGCCCATTTCGAGTAGCAAAATAGTAGTACAGTTTGTTTCCTGTTGGTGGCTCTGTTCAATTTGGAGAATCAGAAATTTGGAATATTCAATAATCAAATGCTATGCTAGTATATCTGTTTGAGTGACAAAATAGTCTTACATTTTGGTTCCTGGAAGTTTTCTATGCAATGTGAAAGAACGGATATTTGGATATTCAGTAATCAATTGCAATGCTGGCATACAACCCTCTGTTGCCGTTGGAAACACCATTCACAGCTTACAAAGAAAAAGAAAAACCTCTAAACATCATGAGCTGTAACATCAGCATTGCTAAAGTTCTCTTTTGCTTCAAAAAGCCCCTCCGCTTCCAATTAATCATCAACCACAACTCTCTCTTAGGTAATTGTCTAAGCAAATCTTAAATTTCAAATACAGTACTTGGTTCAGGCATCAAGAAACATTCAAACTCTAGAATATCAATAACAAACTAGTATGCAAAAGAAACTGTCACACACTCTGGCTTAAAGAACATCGATCCTCTACACCCCACAAGTTGTCGATCTCCTTGTTATTCAACAAAGAACATTGCATTAAATAAACAGTGTTTAATGTAACTCTGACCATCATCTCCTCATGTAGATAAGAAACTTAATCGAATTTAGTAGGTTTTACTCAGAAGTTTAGCTATTGATACTCACCATAAAATGGTCCTAGTTGTTTTGTTGTCTTACGAGTATCCATAATCCATATTTATTTCTAATTTGGTGCATGCTTTTAACTTGATAAGTATGCATTCTGACTCATCACATTGACAGTTATGTATCCTGCAGTCTCAGTATCTTTTTCTTGCTAATCCTTCTAGTTGGCATCTCTTATTTCCGTTCAACTAGTTAGCTATGAGGAAGTAACCTAAGCATTTGTTGTTAGGAAGAATATATTGAAAATCCAGTTCACTTATTTGCATTTTAGGTGTGCTTCTTTAGTGTTTTTTTTTTTAATGCATGTGCATAATGCATGTGCATACTTCTTTCGTCTTCTTTCGTGTTTTTGGTCAATTATCAATGACAAATCTCTCTCAACTGAAGCATTATAAGCTTGTAAGCAAGATTAATGTTTATAGTTATGCTTTAGTGTTGGCATTATTCAAAAGAGCTTGTTGGAAACCTGACTTTGTTGACGTTCATTTTACAACAACAATGGAAGTGATATTGGGCAGGCAAATATTGATGAATGCAACCCTTTGGTTTTTATATCCATTTATATAACACTCTAAATTTAAAATTATTCCAAATAAATCACACATTATTTTATATTATAATTTTTTTTTTATAAAGCACATGTTTTGATGTAATTTTATTATAAAATATCATATAGATAAATAAAACTATTTAAATATTGAATATGTCAGCTTATAAAAATTAAGTGATATAACTAGTAAACAGAAAAAAATAATATCTTTGCATTCCATTTACAGACAACCAAACAACTCATTGGTATTTAGAATTCAATATTATTTACTTTACCAAACATGCACCTAACCAAATAAAAATAAGAATACACTTGCATTTACTTTATAAACAACCAAATAACTTATGAGTAATAAGAATATATTGCATTTACACTGAATTTCTTTTTCAGCAAAACAAACAACCCCTACGGAGATGAGCTTTATCGCTGTTATGCTACTGATTGCTATTCACCTAAATTCCTCAAAACCCAAATTCTCATAACCAAAAAACACAAGGACTTAAAGATTTAAGAATTGGGCAACCAAATAGCTCCATAGCTTTAAAGTATCGGGATTTACTAAAATCCACATTAAAAGGTTTTAACAAAACCAAGTTGAATAAAGCCAACTGAACCCATAAACTTGTATTTAAATGCTGTGATAGAATTGTCCTTTGCATATCTTATCCCTAAAGAATTATATATCCAAACAGCTTTATGTCGCAAAAGCATCAGAGGTGCACCGCTCCAGAAGCTACTCCAAAAAGATTATAGTCAAAAAACAAGCAAAAAACAAAAAATAATGTAAAAGAAATAATCATCCAACAATCATTAGATATAGCCATGAACAACCTATGTTTGTTGAAGAAAAAAATAGCGCATCAAAAAACTTCATACAAACATATTACAGGCCATGCATTCTGAACATCATAAGAAATTAACGCTTCAAAAATGAATATGAGATTGCAAACCTCAAATTTCTCACGAAGAAAGCATCCTACATGTAAAACCGTCAAAGACAAGCTTGTTAATTGCATCTCTGAGCCTATAATAGTCCTCCACTGTATTATAAATCTGGTGAGAAATCCTAGCATACCCTGTAACCAGGCTACCAGCATCTTTTGCCTCCTCAAAATCCTTTGGAGGATTATAGTAAATGGGAACCTCAACTTGGAATTTATCCCTCAAGTGAGTCCGAAGCTTCAAAGCATCATCACTACTTGAAACTCCTAAACCTCCAGGCATCCCAACCATGATCAAACTACAGGACATCTCCGGCGGTGATCCAATATGTGTTCCCCATGCTTCAGCCAACATCTTTCCCATCTCCACAGCCTTCTCATGATTACTTTTCCGTATTCCATCAACTCCACCTTCAAATCTATTCACAAACTCGACAGCTGATGGCACGACCAGCTGAGCACTGTAATCCCGTGTGCCAATCCAACCACTCTCAAGAGGAAGGCCTCTTCCATAACGGTCAGAAACAACCGGATGGTGTAGTTCAGCTGAAGCCGGGCATTTTCTAGAATACAAGAAGGCCACTGCTGGAGGGCAGAAGAACCACTTATGCAGATTACTGGTGTAAAAGTCCGCCCCAATATCCTTCACATCAATTTCAACGTTACCAATTGCGTGGGCACCATCAATAAACACCTGGTCAACGCCTTCTTCACGACAAATCCTAGTGAGCTCCTTGACCGGGATGACGACGCTGGGCATGGAGGTTATATGGTCAATAACAGCAAGGCGGACTCTGCGGCCATTGGATTTACCAAACGCTAACGCCTTACGGAATTCCTCGACGATCTCTTCGTCCGAGGAGACTGGGAAAGGGAGGGGGACCTCAATAACATGGCCGCCCGCTCGAGAGACGTACGCGTGGATGGACTTCTTGATGGAGCCGTAGGCATAGTGGAGCATGACGACCGCGTCTCCCTTCGAAAAGGTTCCCTGAGAGAAGGCCCACGAGATCTGCTGGAGAACGATGGCTGCCGCAGTAGTGGCGTTGTCGACGAGCGAAATCTCATCAACATCAGCGGCGTTAATGAGTTCCTTAACGATGAGGCGAGATCGGAGGAGAGAGGGCTGAAGGATGTTGAAGTAGAAGTGGTCAGGCTGGCGGGGGGAGAGGAGCTGCCAGTGAGATTGGGCGGCTAAGACGGAGGAGGGACAGCTGCCGAAGCGGCCGTTGTTGCTGCG